AAAATAAAAGGATCTCCACTAGAACAATTCTCTGTTCAAGCCTGGAATTTGAAAGCCCCACATTATTCTGTGTTTAGAATGGAGGTGGAGTGTGTAGTTTGACCATGATTCTAGACTTAATTAGTGGTATGGACTTTGACTCCAGTATCAGAATGAGTGGGAAGACTGATAAGATTCCGAAGTAGGAGGAAGGCGTGGAGAGCTCTTACAACGTCGTAGTTTTTCTCCAGTTGTCCTGAAAATATTTAGGAAAGATTTCAGAGAGAAAAAAGAATTCAAGAACTCCTGGAGCCATTGTTTATTAAAGTAGAATACCAGTCTATCTGCAAATTGCTTTTGGTGGAAGACCTGTAGCTTTAAGCTTCTTGAGATGAGATTATTTCCCAGTGCTTTAATGAAATTCCTTCCACAGCTACATAGTTAGTTCTGAATTTTCAAAGCTATTAGTGAAAATACAATGGAGTTTGTCACCTAAATTAATGTTTTATTCCCCATGTAGGCTGTCATTTTTCTACAAGAATCAGTTAATCTCTTATATTTGCTGGTACCTTGATGAGAAAGTATCTCTATAAGAATTATCAATTCATGGTACTATTTAGCACTCAGCAGCGCAAGGGTCCCTACACCTGATAACTGAGATGATTGATTAAAGTCTTTACATAGCCCTTCCCTTGAGGTATCTAAAGCAGGAGGAATTAAGCATGTTAATGGAAATGCAGAAAGCATTGATCATTTGAATAGACCTGGAATGAATTTTTCTCATTCCTACTCCCTTGGTCCAAAATGTTAAAACAAACTAAAAAGGTTAAGCCCTGTATACTTTTTTTTTTTTTTTTGCCCATGTTTACAAGCTCATATGAGAGTTCTAATGCTTTAAAATGGTTTTGATGGAAATATTTAGCTTAAATAATATAAATAGGTTTAACCTATTTAAAGCTAGTTATTGTTAACTATTTTTAAAATTGTTTTATTGCCATTACTGTTTTGTTACTCTTTGGTTTACATCATCTTGTAGAGCTCAGGCTTGGTTAGTTTGTGCTTACATATTAGCTTTTTTCAGGGCCTGGCTGATCATGAATAATGTTCAGTAAAACCTTAGACAATTCATTTAACTGCCTCGGTGTCAATTTCATTAACTGTAAATGAATATGTTGCAGATGATCCCTTAGGAGAACAATTCTGAAATTGGAGGTGAGGTGACAGAAGAAAGGTGACTTTCAAACTCCATTTCCCTCATTGCATCTAAGAAGATGTTACCATAGGCATATATTGTGAATGGCTTCAAAGTAGACAAAAGTCGTAATTCTTTTTTGGTCCCTCATTGCTCTAAGAATTTGTGATTCTGTGTTCATAATCTTTCCATGCTATTTCCCCTCAACAAAGCCAAATGACTCATTTTTACAAAACTAAGTCTCCTTTGATTCTTTCACTTGCTAAAGAAAGAGACAAAAGCGCTTTTAAATGTTGAAATTGAGATAAGTCAATAATTATGACTCCTATTTATTGATGTAAGTTTTCTTCATTTTTATTCAAAAGGTAATTTTGCCTTCATACTAAGTGAAAAGAGAAGTTTTTTTTTCTAACTACCTCAGAGAAATAAAAGGGGAGTTTCATTTTTAACCTATTTTGACCGTTATTTTTTAACCTTTTTTTAAACCTTTCTTTTTAACACATTGACTCACACCTCCTGTGTGTGTATACTTGTTTGTGTGTGTGTGTGTGTGTATTTATTTTTACATATATCCTGACATTAGTGTACTAAAAAGAAAAAGCAGTTCAGACTTTGAAAAGTAAACTTTGTGGCTTGCTTATTTTTTTAATCCCACTTATTTTATTCTAATCAAAGAAAAATATTTTAAGCTATCTGTTTTCAGCATTCCTGGCTGCTATTATCTTGACTGTAATTGCCTAGTTTCCTTTCCGGCTGATCTATTGCTAGCCTTTATCTGGATGTTATTAAAGAATATAAATGCTCCATAGAGCACCATATAGTCCCAGCCAGAATGTTCTCAGATTCTTTGCAAAAATGACACCAAACCAGTGGTTTGGCTGGTAAGTAAGTAGCTCAGATTTGTTGTCAGAATGTACAAGGGATTCTAAATTCACTGCTCGTTGTTCCTGAGATGTAGCATTTGAAAAACAGCTTCAGCTGTTTATGGATTATGGTCCTTGGGCACCAGATAGTGGATGTTGGAATGTATTGCAGAAAAGCTGATTAAAGTACTAGAGCCTCTAAAAGTAAAAGTAGAAAGTCATTTGTAATACCTGTGCCTGACTCTGTCGGGTGCACTTATACGGTTCCTTTAGAGAGCTTTGGTTTATTATCATCTTATCCATGCAGGAATAACCTTTTTGTAAAAAAAAAAAAAAATGTGCCTTTTGGAGAAAACATTCATAAGCAATACTTGATGAGAAGTTTATGTGGGTAGACTGATTTGAACTTTGAAAATCCTAAATACTTTGCACTCTTATTATCTAGCTTATTAGAGTCTTGTTTCACTACGACTCAGCTTTCAATAGTAGCTACTTCAATTCCCAATTTTCATGTGTTGTGACCGTCAATCAGGGAATTTACACTGGCCCCAAAACATAAACTATGTCAGAATTCATTGTCCCTCCCCACCCCCTACCTCTTGGGCCACTTTTCTCCCCGACAACAGTTCACAGAAGTAGAGTCTGGAGATATTTTATATTATTACAAAACTTACAGGTCTTTAAATATACTTCGTACTCCTCTTGTTGAGATATTGCCATATTTCCTCATTATTTTTGAAGTAAAGTTCAAACTTCTTAGAGAGCCGTTCGTGATCTGTTCCTTCCCTACCCATTCCCCTGCAGTGTGAGTGTGGTTTCAGACTTACAGAGCTACTGTTTCCCTTCCTATTGATTTTTGTTTCTGTTTTACACTGGTTGCCTGCTTCTCCTTCACCCTTTTTTCATTTTACCTGAGAATTGCTTGCTCTTCCTTCAAAACTCTGCGTACATTTCCCTTCTTCCAGGAAACCTTCCTTGAGCCACAATTACCCTGCCTCTTACTAATCTCAGTCAGACCAGCCTTTAAGCTGTTTATGACTTTCACAAGATTCTTTTCATACTCTACTGGGACCTTATGTTTGTCTGGCTCACTTAAGAGACCAATACTCCTTGAGTTCAGAGATGATACTGGGGTCTTTTGTGGGTCTGAATCTGGCATTTTCAAATAAATGTTTGTTGACTGACTGAATGACTTCTAGAGATAATCTCATAATTTGACTTACTTTGCCCCTGATCCTTAAGACATCTGAGAGTATGGTTTATGTCATATTCCTCACAACGAGCTTTTAAATTGACTCACTCACTTCCATATTGCCACCTAAAATGTGTAGTAAAGGTAGGTCTTTGGCTTTGGGAAGACAAGAACCTTTTGGCTAGGAGATACAGTAATATAAATCTTAACACTGTCAATTAGCCAAAGAAGGTGGAATACAATATATGGGAAATTGGAAAGACCAACTCTATGATGAATGATGCATTCTAGCTTATCCATGTAGATTGTTGAATCTGTGACTTTAGTGGTATATAAAATTTCCTTAGGAGGGAATAGATATTTAATAACTTCTTCCTTATTTGAAAATAACTGTTTACAGTTTCTAGATTTTAATGTAATCTTAATATGAGAAGCAAGACAAAGTTTGAACCAAAAGAATATTTGCCAGTGATGGGCTATAGAATTTAAGCGTGTACTTGGTTGTCCTTAGGTGTCTTTTGAGTATTTGCATCAATATTCTGCATTCTGTTACAAAACAGAAACAAAATGCAAAGAAATCCATATTTATAAATGATAAGATGTTTAAAATAATTTAAGCTTATTTCTTAATAGAATTGTAACATTTTCATTTAATCTAAAATTTTATTTCTTCTATGTATGGTTAATATTTGCTTTCATGTAATTATTTGCTTAGACATTTTGTATAATTATTTCTCTAATGATATAGCAAACTGACTCAGCACATTATAGCTGAATCATAGTCCTGGCTCTTCTTTTTATTTATTGAATAAACAAACACTGTATTGTTAAAATTCTTTGTCCTTCAACTGAGTTTGCAAAAGCAGCTTGTTTGTTAGGTCTTGCATACTCTAAGGAATGTGTATCAAAGGTTTGAAATTATATACCTCTTTTTCAGTCTGCGATATTTTTAAAAAATAGAAGGGAGCAAAATTGTCCACGTCTCAATAGTTGGCTATCTGCTTACTCTCAGAGACCCCAGCCTCCTTTTTAAAAATAATTTTAAGGGTTTCTTGTTTACTAAAATTTGGTATTGAATTTGTGTAAAGTCTGAAGATTGCAGCATGCTAGAATATTTTTGTCATCTAAGACTGTATTCACTGTTTGGGTTTTTGGAGCACTGCCTCCAAGAGGTTCGTAGCATTTGGTACGGAGTTCACGTATTTCTAGTCTACAGACCTACCCTATTGAGGCAAAAGCTTCATGATGCTCATGTGTTTTTTTCTACTGCTATAATGCTCAGCAACGGTAATTAATTAAAAAAAAAAAAAACTTTCCATGTCATTACAAATAAAACTGAGGTTTTTTTTTGAAGGCTAGTAATTTGTACCTTTAAAGAGCCACATTATTTTGCTTTTGTCTCAGAATGTATTATGCTTCACAAGTATACTGTGACAGCCTGAATAGGAAAGGGGGGAGGGGACATTGTCTTCAGCTGGCATGCTGTTATCAGAGGGAATGTGTTTCTGGACACGAGATTTAGCATTCATTGGTTGTCTGAAGAAAGCTATTTCATCTGAGGATTGGACAAGAAGCTGCGTCAATTTGCTGCCCGTCTCCAAGGCACTGGTGATGCTGCCTTCACAAGCTGGCTAACGTCACGGCTCCATCACCCAGCGGGGTGTGGACTCTCTTTTTCTGTTCTTCTCTATTTAATTCTCTATTTGCTGCCTACTGCATTTCTTAATCTGTCTTCTGCCAAATGCTAACAGCATGATATTTTGCAATCATCTAGGTGAATACAAGAAAGACGAACTCCTAGAAGCTGCTAGGTAAGTGATTCCATTCATTTTAAGTGAGTATAATGCATGTAAGGGAGAAAAGGGGGAGGGCAGGTGGAGGACTATAAAAATTATAACATGTTATTGTCTCGCTTGGATTTTACGTGATAATGCGGCTGAGACCCTATACTCAATCTCTATATACTTTGTTTTACATGATGTTTATTAAATGATAGAGTTGTGCAACATGGCAAAGATTACAAGGTTAATTTTATTTGGAACATTTCTCAGGGTACCTGCAGACCTTAGTTGCCCAGCTTTTCGGATGATCTTCGTGGAGTATTTAAAAACCTATCTCTTCATTTTTCTCAGAAAATTTTTCTAGCAAAGCTTGTCTGGGGAGTATAAAGTAAATGTTAAAATTCTCATCCATTTTCTTTTGTTCTTGGTCATTTATAATTTAATTAGTTAGCTTTGTTCATCATTTTGTATGTATTTTTAAGCCCAGTGTTTTAGAGCACTTATCAAAATAAAGTTTGTTTGTAATTAAGAAGGTGACTTGATGCAGATAAATAAAACCATTAAAAATGTAGAAAGATGTACTATCCAAGATGTACCGCTGTATGATGATTCACAGGAATTAATTAGGAATGTGTTGATTTAATTCAGTCTACCAAAAGAGAGTCATTGAGAACCATATACAGGAAATCAAAGCAAGCCTATATTATTTTCCACTCTTCTGAAAAATATCCATAAATATTCATAAGAAGCTCTATAATATCATAGGAATTGACTTACTACCTTTTTACAGGAGTGGTAATGAAGAAAAACTAATGGCTTTACTGACTCCTCTAAATGTGAATTGCCATGCAAGTGATGGGCGAAAGGTAAGTTCTTTAATATCCCCCTTCAACAATTTCTTCTTGCTTTATACTGAAAATTTTTGAAGTCGGCATATATGTGTATACACACATATATGTACATATGTACATACAACTATTTTTACTGGCATCTTTTCACCATAAAATGAAATGCTGCTGTATCTGTTATTGGCAGTTGTGACATATTCATAGAACTGGTGAAGCATGGGTTTTAAAGCCTTTCCTCTTAAATGTCAGACACTGAAAGTTGTTTGTTAAATAGAACTGCAGCTTTGTCGGTGATTAAAATTATAGCAACATATATTATTTTTTATGTATGATCTTGGAAATTGGAAATATTTGTTTATGTCCTATTTTTACCTGTCTTTGTTTGGATATTTGCATTTTTGATCTCCTATTTGGCAGCGGAAGATTTGCTTGCTAGATACCAACACTTTTCCATTTAAAGCTGAGAAAATGCTAACAGTTTTTAGATATGTAACAGCACTGCTTTTTTGCTTGTTTTTTTTTTTTTTATTATTGGCTAAGTTTTTATCATGGTCTGTTGAAAGAAAATAGACTAAAGACGAGAGAAATATTCTGCATTAATTTACAGTTGCTACAAATGTAAGGTATGTATAAATGTACAGCTGAGTCTTCGTTACATGCTCTGCATTCTTGCCGAGTATGGGCCGAAATGTATCCCTTCACAGCCTTTGGTAATTGACTGCAAAGTTTTGCAGGGATTTGCCTAATAGATATTGAAAAATAAAACACTCTGTATTGTAAAGCCTTGGTTAAAATGACAGCTCATATTTTAATGATTAAAAGGGTAACTTTTGTATTTTAAAAATGTAAAATATTTTTGAAGTTACACTGTGAATATTGAGGAACATCATTTGTGTCTAATATTTAAAGAATTAGTTTCTTTGAAATTATTTTATAGTGAAAATGTGCTATGGGAAATATCAGGATGGACGGTACACCCCTTAGATATATATAGTGTCTTTATAGTGCCTCTACACATTTTTCCATTCCAATGAAACCCATATAATAGTGGCAAGGAACCAAATCCTCTCCACAGAATATATCTTATTTGTTATTATAGGTGGTTTGTATATTATTTCATGTGGCCTATTGAGCATTCAGTTTCTCTGGATAATCTGGGGACAGACTTCTACTTTAATGGAAGGTTAAATTATTATACATATATCAAGCTATAAACTAGCAGAGATTTACTCAGTATTTGTAATGACTTTTGGGAGATGGTTTTAAATGATAACTGCTCATTTTTTCCCTTCAATTTTGAAGTTGCTTTGGGGATTTTAACATTCTTGAGTTACTTGGAGCTCCAGATTTTGTTTGGATCCTCTCAGTAAATAAAGTGACTTTTATCAGTGTGCAGAAGAGGGCCTTCTGAACTATGGTGAGTGTAGCTCTGTCTTTAGGTAGAGCTCGTCTAGAGCCCAGCCTGCTTCAGTTTCCATAGTCGTTTTAATATTACAGACTTTATGTGAGATGGCTCTAGCAGGAGCCGATTTCTATTCCAGCCTCATTCTCCCATCATCAGCCTTATACCTTACCAGCCCCATTTGTAGCTCAATAAGTCATAATAATTAAGGAGCACGAACACTGATAATTAACAAATTACCTCTTCTCCCTGCCTCACTCCCTGCCTAACTATATAAACTCCTTTATTTTTCCCTTCTCCCCAAAGGAGAATACACTTCCCTCATTCCTTTAGCTGGAACCAGTGTATTCCTTACCCAAATTCCTGGGGCTCCCTTTCTGTATTATTCTATGGATGGCATTTACCACAGAGTTTTTTCCTCTATTCATCCATTAGCTCTTTGTATTTTGCCCTGGACCAAGCCCTGGTACCTTGCAGGTAGCCAGAATCTTAGGATATGACTATGCTCCCTAATAAACATAATTTTATCCTCTGACTGAAAAATCATCTGTGCTCTTTTCCATTTAGAAAATGAACTCAGAAGTGTGTGAATAGAAGATTTTATATTTTCCATTATTATATGTTATTACTAGTATTATTTTACTAATTTATTTTTGATTTATTATATCATGAAGGAAAGCTATATTTTAATGTATAGAACATTGTTAAGAATGTGTTTCATACATTGTGATTTTGCTGTAGGATTCATACCATATAAATAATGTAATAATTCTCCAAAATGGGCTCCTATACTTTTTTAGATTATTAGTTTGCTCAAATTAGATAGAAAAAGAAAATTAGATGTAAGCATTTATTAGGTTTTCGTGCTATGCATATAACATAAAAAATCAGTCACAATTGTTCATCAGTATGCAAAATGTAAATAAAATTTCATAATTAAAATTTAATTATATTCATATTTACATATTACCCTTATTTATGGCACAGAATAGTTCTTATTAAATGTGCCAGCTACGGTAAAGCCATAAAGTGGCAAATATTCTGGGTGCTGATGGAGATTGGGATAAGGTCCTTTAGTTATGACAGTATCTTTTGTTTTCTTGTTATTGGTGTCAAGAAAATGTGTAAGGAAATCTAGCTGTGAAATTACAAGTCTGTCTTAGGTATTTAGTATTTTTTCAGGCCATTTGCCTGTGTTTATCTACAATTAGGAAATTAGATTGTATATTAACAATAAAAGGATAAAGGTACTTTACATATATAGTAAGTTAGGTATATAAAGTTTTATTTCTTGAATTTGCATGTTAGAGCACAATACTGAATCAAACTTATTTTTAGCGGGTTTCTAAATGACTGTATTAATGCTTAACTGAATCCTTGCCTGTCTCTGTTTTTACTATGATTCCTGGTTTGTAAATTTAAAAAGCCCATGGAAATGTCAATTTCATAATGTTTTTAGAAAAGAAATGTTCCTTATACGTTAACTGGTAGGTGGAGAATTTGCCTTGGATATATGCGGGGGTTTTAGACTACAGCATTCCTCTTTAATGCACTACATGGGGTTATACAATGACAATGTAACTTTTCAAAAGCCTCTTAATTCTATACTGTCACTTGGTGATTATCTAATTAGGTAATATACGAGTCGTTTGTGTTTTTATTTCCCATAGACATTTGTTTTTCTAACCTGTAGAATTCTGAAAATAGTGAAGTACCAATAAGGTTTTAAGTAATTTATGTTGTTATTTATGCTTTTATTTTTCATGTAAATCAAAGTGGAGCTTAGCTACTCTAGAAATTTCCAGTTGTTTTTTTCCCCAAAAATCAAAGACAAAATTTTTTTTGTAATTTTTTGTTCTAAAATGCCACTTTTATACACTTACATACACGTTCAAATGATGGCCACTTTAGAAACATAGGGGCATAGGTATAACTTACTCTTCAATCTCCTACCCATTATGACTAGACAGAACATTCTACAATTCCTTATTTTGAACTACAGTGAAACGCAACTAGATACTGTTCCCTTTCTAGAATTCTTTTTTCCTAGGTTTTCAAGCTTAGATTTGTTGTTCTTTAATCTCCCTTTACAGTATTTTCTGTGGAGGTGTTTTATTAGCAATTAGCCAAATAATTGTTTACCTGTAACTTTAAGGTGGCCGTGGTCTCTTGTTTTTCAGTATTAATTCTCATACGGATACTTTTAGACAATGAATAAAAAATATTTGAATACATCTCAAATTATTCCCATACTCAGCCCTCTTCAGAGTTCTCTTTGGTCCTTCCTTGTATCATTTCCCTTTCTTGTCTGCCTATCCCCTTCCAAAATAAATGTCCTACATTCATCTCCTCCTCATAACAAGGGAATAGAGTTGAGCATTACTGTATGTATTCCTAAATAGGAATATATATCTTTGCATGCATGTATGGTGCCTAATGCTGCTATGATTGTATGTCACCAAATAATGAAAGTAACTAATATTTGACTGGTAATTTATTTTTATAAAGTATTCAATATAATTTCTGGTATTTCAGGTTTCTCTGTGCTCCTTTCAACCATTAGGCCAGCACTTAGGTCACTGTGCCAAGTGTCATGGGAGAGAAATATGTGTTTAACGGTAATGGTTCACAAGGAACTCGACAACTTATAGAATGATTAAGACATCATCCAGTATGAAACATTAAAAAAAAAAAAAGGTCATGCTCCCTTGTGGCCTCCTTTGTGGGGTGCCGAGGTGACTCAGTCTCTTAGGCATCTGTACTCAGGCATGACGTCAGTTTGTAGGGTTACAAGCCCCAACATCGGCTCTAGCACTGGCAGTAGGGACTGCCTGCTGCCTCTCCTTCTCTCAAGTCAGTTTCAGTTTTTCTCCCTCTCTCTCAAGATAAATAAACTAAAAAAAAAAAAAAAGGAGACATTATCCAGTATGTTGAAGTTAATCCTCTTAAAAAAATGTATGATTCCTTTTGCTGTGGTACAATTATAAAGTGTAGATTTAAGGTGGGTGGGTTTTGTTGGGGGGGGGACTTTTATTTTAAAGCATTGGTTTTTAGACATGGATCCTCTTCTAAGAAACCACAGATATAGATGAACAGGCAGTTGGAGGAGCATGATTTAAACTCAGAAAGATTAACTGAAGGATATCTTTAAATGTCACATTTCTACTGTGTAAATGTTTGCCTCCATAAAACAGTTAATAAGGAGAAAGATTCTGGAAACAGAGAAAAGTAAAGTGTTTAAAAACTATTTTTTAATAGTGATCAGTCAGAAATAAAGTAGAATTTAATGCCATCCCTTGAAGATATCATAAAAAAAATTATTTAGTTGAAAGAGCAAAACTACCCTCTCTCTCTGGCCCTTCCCCTCTCTCTCTCTGTCTCTCTCTCTCTGAAAAATAAATAAACATTAAAAAAAAGGGGGGGGCGCCTGGGTGGCTCAGTCGGTTAAGCGTCTGACTTTGGCTCAGGTCATGATCTCGCGGTCCGTGAGTTCGAGCCCCACGTCGGGCTGTGTGCTGACAGCTCGGAGCCTGGAGCCTGCTTCAGATTCTGTGTCTCCCTCTCTTTCTGGCCCTTCCCCTCTCGAGCTCTGTCTCTCTCTCTCTCTCTCTCTCTC